AGCTATTAAATCTCTTTTCACCATCTGATTTTAAGTACACTATCATGCGCTAGCCAAGTACTAATGGTAAAATTAGCGATGTTTTTTTTAACCTTAACATAAAAACCACATGAATAAAAAATAAAAACAAAAGTACTTCTATTATAAAAAAAAAAAATTAAAAACTCATTGACGTGTTGCGTAACTCCATTTTGTTACGATTTTGATAACCGCTCAAAATCATACTAAATGAGTAAAAAACTCAACAAGTTAAAGAAATCCGACGAAATTTCCTAAGGTTCCTTTTTGTTAAAATATGCACTGCATGTTTTTCATTCGTGTTATTGTTTGTGTAAAAAAAACTCATCGTCATTCAACAAGTTCTAACGCGTGTTAAATCAGTTTACCGATACTGTTTTTTTTAACTCGTTTTTATTTTCTTGTACTTTTATAGCTCGTAACATTGCACAATTTTTTACGTAACTTGGTCAACACTGATTTTGTTTAAAAATGAACTTTTAATACACAAAAATTTAGCAATAAACTGGCCAATCAGAAACCAATGATTCGCACAAACTGACATTACATCAATGGCTTTCATTAGGTAACTGCACGGTTATATTATACCTAAAACAAAAGAAGTAGACTGTCATTTTTATCTCCATGGTTTCCAACCATTAATTTCAATAACAAATTTACCCTCGCCTTTTGTGAATAAATTGCACATTCAAGTGAAGATCGTTGAGTTATTATTATTTATTATAAAAAAATAAAAAGTACTTGGACGCAACTCTGTAGTTTCGATCTCGATCCAAACGATCGTCTTTGCAGAAAAATAATAATAATAATAATAATAATAATAATACGAGAAGAAAAGCGAATTTTCCAATTTACAAATGCCAAAGAGCAAAATCACCATCCCCCAGCCAAATGATAAACGAATTCTTCAAGTCTGTAACGCTGTTAATAGAAAAGGGAGTGCGACAAAAGCGACGCTCGGCTCGCAAGGCCGAGGACATCATACGCAAGGAAATACTAAAAGGTGACGAGGACGAGGACGACTCGAGCGACGAATCCAACAAAATAGCAGCTTACAACAACCACAAGAAGCAACAGCAGCAGCCGAGTACGTCGTTGAATTTGCCGAGATCGCTATCGCCATCCTCGCTCAAGCGATCCTTCCAGGAGCTCGACAACGCGGTCGAGAGCAATACCACTAAAAGACTGAGAGCCGAGGAGGCAGCTGCGTCTGCCGCGGCCGAGAAAAAGGAGCTATCAAAGGAGAACAAAGTTGATCTCAAGGGTCTGGTCAGGGATATATCGCAAGAGGATATCAAGAAAAAACTGACGAGCCTGACGAGCAAGGTGAGTTATTTTTTCGTCTTTTTTCTCAGGGAAGGGGCCAGGGGGTTCGTTTTATTGTTTGCGCGTTTCGAAACACCGATTTTTAAGTCTAATTACTACTATTCGTCATCATTCTTATTATTATATTTATGATTTTCATTAATACGAGAGTTCACTTGAGATTGATCATTCAGTTGGTATATGAAACTAACGTGCACTTGTTTTTGGTTTTTGAGCATCTGCGCGCAAAACATCGAAACTTAAGTCAAACTTGGTTTATAACGAGAAACAAACGTGTGTGTGTATGTATATGTGTATGTGTTTAGAAAAGGTGACTTTAAAGCAACAGATTTCTTTGAAGCGAGAAGTGTCTGCATAAGTTTTCCTAAACATATATATAATCAGTATGTATGTTTCTACGCTACGACTAAACCGNTATATTTATATATATATATACACACACAAGTTTTATTATTAATCTTGTTGGTTAGGTTTAGGTGTGTTGAACTAGCTCAGCAAGTTACACGTGAAAAGTGTATAAACATTTCCTGTTCGTTTTTCGTTGGTAACTAACGAATACTTAATTTATGAATTCACACCATTAAAAAATAATGCCACATTATTTACTGAATAAGTTACCTTTGGTTAAGATTCAATATAAACTTATGGTATCTAGGGTTAATTTGGTTATCGGTACTTTGCTGTTTCGATTCTTATACAACGTTATTTTTTTGTAGAAACCCGATGAGCGGTGGTATCTAATCTCATGGTAGTATAAACGTATAAACGTATAAACGTATAAACGTTTAAAGCCGTAATAATATTTCTCGTTAAAATTTCTAAAACAAAGATAAATAAAACTACAAATTTTTATTTATTAGTTACGAAAACCATTTTACATTTTTTTTAAAAGTTTACCACGTCTTGATCGGCTGTTCACTAATTCTCGAGTAGTTTTTATAAATACTCGAGATTAACGTCGAAGATGCTAGTTTAGCTTAGTCGGGCGTTGCTTAAAGACCGAACCATCCAAAGTAGCGTTATAGGAAAAATAAAAATTCAACTTATACTCACTAGGTGTGGATTCCAAGTTATTTAGTACCGAAGTAACTCGAGAATATCACTTTTTTTTATTAGGAAATAGAAGCACTGTTGCTGCAAAAAATCGTCGAATGTATAACGATCCGTGGTGAAATGGGAAAACTTCGCGAGCAGGCGCGCGCGTCGAAGAGAACCCAAGAAGCAACACGTGCTAAGTGTCAGCAGCTTCAGAAACAAGTAGAAGGATTCGAGATGGTTTTGAAGCGAATAACGTACGACAAAACCCTCAACCAAGACAAATACGTGCAGCCGATCAAAATCAATCGTTCCGTTGGTCTTCAGGTCAATTTCCAGTCTGTAAGTGTCATTTAGAAAGTTTTTGCTCTTACTTATTTGTTTGTACCAAGTTTATTTTTAATATTATTATTTCTATAAAGTATCGAGAGTAAACGGTACTATCATTAAAGCTCATTTTTTTAACGACAAGATAATCTTATGTATTCCTTGGTTTAAAAAAATAATTGCCTCGAGAGTAATAGAAATGATTCAACGGTGAAAAAAATCTAGGTAGAAAAAGCAATACATTGATAGAAACAAATCTTGACTCTTCCAATAGGATCATGGTATACAAAATCTGAAGCAAATTCAGGCATTCAGAGCTAACGCTTCGGCCACAAGAGCAGCAGCAGCGACAGCTTCGACATCCACGGTATCGTCCCCAGTGTACGACAACCACGTGTCGAGTCCCAAAAAGATAATAAAAATCCGCTCGCCCCGTAAACCAGAAATGTCCGTCGTATCTATGGTCAGTCAGACGTCCACCGGCAATTCTACGATTTGTTCGACGCCCATGACGACCATTACCGGCACCACAGCCCAAATCACGAGTAAGCTCCTCGAAGCGAGCAACAAACGGCCGATCACTCTGCAAAACGCTGGGAACATCATGCAGATTTTACAACCCAGTAGTCAGCAGCAACATCAACAAACTCTCATTGTTAACAGGACCATTCAGAAGCCAACACAAACGGTTTCGGCTAATAATGGCAACACGAACAATAGCAGTGTTACTACCAATAACAACTCCAATGACCTCATAGATTTGACTGACGAAGAAGACAAGAACAAATCCAAGTTTGCTGTTGGGCAAACTACTCGTCAAATTCGTAAGTTGATTATTTTTTTCGTTCTACGTTGTCATCGTGATACACTGAGTAGTTTCAAAAAATTTGTTTTTACCTCTAATGGATTCTTTTCTTTGTTATTCAGCTGCTCCATCTGTACAGCCCGTTAATAATACTGCAATCAGTAGGGTTCCTACAAGAGTATTCCAAGCTGTCACTACCAGTGGTGTTCCGCTCTCCAGTGCAACTAATCTTAGATTAGTTACTACTAATTCTCAATCGTCCCCTAATGCCATAGTAGTATGTATTAATTGTTATTAATTTGATTTTTTTTTAATTATTTAACTTACATGCTCTGTTTCGTTCTTTCAGAACAATTTGAATGGTCAAAAAGTGACTTATGGCACGGTAGTTATGAATGGGAATAAACAGTTGTTACTAACTAGTAATCAGATACGGCAAGTTTCAAGTGTACAAGGAAAAAATATTACCACTCTTTACAATAAACAAGGTGAATATTTAAACCAATCACGTAATTGACTATTTTTATTTCTGTATTTAACACATTGATTATTCCTTAGGACTGCCAACGCTAGCTAATGGACAAACGCTACGAGTCCTACAACCTACTACAACACTTCAGGCACAAGTATTACGTGTAAGTGCTTTGAATGTGCAAAGAAACTTTATTTCATGTATAATTATTTGCATCTGCTAATAAAACTATTAATTTTAATTGACAGCATCCAGCTTCCTTACCCGAGAACACAACACCAGTTGTATCGAATCCAAATTGGAAATTGCCGCCACCTGCTCCATCGTTAAAAATATCAAAAGTAGCTACTGGTGAGTTAAAAATTACTCATAAATGTCTTGTCTAATCTTCAAGTTAACAGTACGTTTGTTAATGCTTTTTTATAACTGCAGGAATCGTTTTATCGTGGAACATGAACTTGACGGATAAGTTTGCCAATATCGCTAGTTATCAATTGTTTGCGTATCAAGAGGTCGCGGGAACGGCCCCCAGTCCCAATATTTGGAAAAAAATTGGTGACGTTCGAGCACTGCCACTGCCCATGGCTTGTACTTTGACTCAAGTAAGATTTATCCATTGATTAATTTATCAAATTAATGATGTGTTAATTCATATCGATTTTTTCTTTGCAGTTTACAGAAGGAAATAGTTATCATTTTGCCGTACGGGCCGTCGATGAGCATAGTAGATTTGGGCATTACAGTAATCCGGGAAATATTTCGCTCTAGAAACAATTACGAAAATTAGTAGGAATGTGTTAAAAACAACGGTTGAATATCCTTGTTCTTCATTACATGAAGCGAGCAATCAATTTAAATTTTACATGGGCGCTTGAGTGCTGAAGCTCTAGTTCATATACATCTTTGTAATATAGTAATTCTTGATTTCTAGTTTAGCGAGGCAAATCTGTACTGTTTTTTAATTAAGGTCACGTAAACAATGTAAAGATACACCGTAAATCTTTTTTAAGTAGGATTTGACAAAGCCGTTCTTTATAACTTTTTCTCTATTTTTTTTTTCTTCAATATATAAAATCAACATCAGAGTTTTCATTTCAATTACAAGTCTTGGTAACGTTACGAATTTTTTTTATTTTTTTTATTTCTGTTATCTCTGCTTTTCAGAAGGAACGTTAAACGATTTGAAATTTATTTCTATGTTGATTCAAATCCGCCAAATTGTTAAAGTTTTAAGAGACCTTTCATGCAGAGATGCAGTGTTTTATATTAAAATTGAATAAATTGAAGCAATATGGTTAACTGCTTAAGTTCAAAATGGGGCTTAAAATTTATAAAAGTAATTGTTCCATTTGGTTTCAGCCCTATATAAATTTGTTTAGTACAATTACTTCGTGTATGTTAGTCATAAGGTTTTAATTTATTTGTTATTTGTACAATGTAAAAAATTTGTGCAAGCTGTGATGAGCTTGTGTATTACTAAGAAATGAAAGATTTTAAGTTGAGGAATAAATATAAAAAGTCGGAAAGTGAATAGGGCTTTATTGAAGGACAGGCAAAGTGTACGTTTGTAAATGCCACTGTCTTGTTCGACTTGAACTTTATAGATATAAAAAATTTTGTAACAAGATTATGTGTATAAATCATATGAAATGAAAATTGGAAAAGAAACAAATTTTGTACATAGCAAATTTCACAAACTTTCTCACCCAATGTGTCTTCCTTTTTTATTCCTATGACCTATCAGCGAAAATCAAATTTTTTTAAACATGCTGTGAATTTTATAGTTGGGAATATGGGAATAAAAAATATTACTGACTCAACAAATTAAATTTTTCGAATCATAAGTACGAAGATTTGAGTTTCAGCGTAAAAGTACCTTTCCCCCATTAATCCTGTGGGGTTGCTGTACATGATTCACAATCAAATTCAGACCTCATTTTTATGCATTTGAAGGTAGATTTACGGATAAAGGATAGGTTGTAAACTTGCCGCAATTAGCACAGACGACGTTAAATTTTAATTTTATGTCTTAAAGATTATTTGCGGCTGGTTTACAATCGATTACATGTCTAATATGCGGTAATTATTTGGATCAGCGCCATCTAGCGTTGCGGATTTCTGGACTAAAAAGTGGCCCTAAACTTTTCAGCCAGAGCATTAGCGCTTAGAGCCATTTAGTCACTTATAAACCAGCCGCAATTCATCTTGTAGCTATAATATGAAAAAATAACGATACATGTGTTTTTGGCGGCAAGTCAACAATCTATTTTCTACCAAAAAATTGACCTCATGTGTATTTATACTTTTGAAGATGAATTTTTCAGTAAAAAATAGATTGTTAACGTGCCGCCAAAAACACACGTATCGTTATTTTTTAATTTTGTAGCTATCTAAATGTGTTGCGGCTGGTTTATAAGTGATTAAATGGCTCTACGCGCTAAAGCTCTGGCTGAAAAGTTTAGGGCCACTTTTTAGTTCTAAAATCAGCAACGCTAGATGGCGCTGATCCAAATAATTATTACTACTTACAGTAGAGCCATTTAATTATTTATAAACCAGCCGCAACTAAATTAACTGATAAACAACTATAATTTAACGGTATTGATAATGTTGCGGCAAGTTTACTATTTATCTTCTACTTGAAAATCGATCACCAAAAGTATGGATATTCTACTTGTCTCATATGATTTTTAAAATCGATCTTCACCAGAATGATAAAATCATAATGTTTTAGCCTGACTTTTTGCAAAAATCCGAGAAAACTAGTGCTTCCAACCCAGATAAACTCAAAATAAAAACGAAATATATATGTGTACGCAACACATGTATATAAATCTATATATACACTAAATGTATTCAGTCAATACGGAGGGGTCCGTGCATCATTATTGATATAGTAGGGATTTAGTTTATTCATTGGTGGCCATCGGTACCGACAATTTCTTATCATTTTTTCCCATCACATAAATATATATGTATAATTCATTAATTAAATTTTACAAATTTTTGTTCCCATTACCTATGAAGTTCAGAGAAAAAGTTTTTAAAAACAGTATCAGTTGTTACGTAGGATAAATTAATTCTATAAAGATAAATTAAAGAATAATGAACAGAATTTTCTGCTAAGATTAGGTAAAGCTGTTTAATTTAATGAATATAAAATATATGTATAATATGTATATGTGATTGGAAAAATGATAAGAAATTGTCGGTACCGATGGCCACCAATGAATAAACTAAATCCCTACTATATCGATAATGATGCACGGACCCTTCCGTATCGACTGAATACATATAGTGTATATATAGAGATATATACATGTATTGCGTACACATACATTTCGTTTTTATTTTGAGTTTATCTGGGTTGGAAGCACTCGTTTTCTCGGATTTTTGCAAAAAGTCAGGCTAAAACATTACGATTTTATCATTCTGGTGAAGATCGATTTTATAAATCATATGAGATAAGTAGAATATCCACACTTTTGGTGATTGATTTTCAGATAGAAGATAAATTGTAATCTTGCCGCAACATTATAAATAATGTTAAATTATAGTTATCTATCTGTTCATTAAGTTGCGGCTGGTTTATAATTAATTAAATGGCTCTGCTATAAGTAGTAATAATTATTTGGATCAGCGCCATCTAGCGTTGCGGATTTCTGGACTAAAAAGTGGCCCTAAACTTTTCAGCCAGAGCATTAGCGCTTAGAGCCATTTAGTCACTTATAAACCAGCCGCAATTCATCTTGTAGCTATAATATGAAAAAATAACGATACATGTGTTTTTGGCGGCAAGTCAACAATCTATTTTCTACCAAAAAATTGACCTCATGTGTATTTATACTTTTGAAGATGAATTTTTCAGTAAAAAATAGATTGTTAACGTGCCGCCAAAAACACACGTATCGTTATTTTTTAATTTTGTAGCTATCTAAATGTGTTGCGGCTGGTTTATAAGTGATTAAATGGCTCTACGCGCTAAAGCTCTGGCTGAAAAGTTTAGGGCCACTTTTTAGTTCTAAAATCAGCAACGCTAGATGGCGCTGATCCAAAATATTCATACAAAATACAACTTACAGTAGAGCCATATAATCGATTATAAACCAGCCGCAATTAATTGTATGGATAGAAAATAAAAAGTCAAAATCGTCTGTGCCATTTGCGGAAAGTATCTTTTAGTATCTCAAGTATCTACAATTTATCTTTTAGCCGAAAATCGACCTCCAAAAGTGTAGATATTCTACTTGTGATTACTTTAATTACTACATATAACTTCACGTAATCTTACACCCTGCTCTCTTTACCAGAATGATAAATTCAGATTTCAGAGGCTGTATTCCGCAAATGCTACCACTTCGCGGGCTGCGTTTCACTGTATATTTTGAATATTTTCGCTAACGCTACATCAATATTTGTCAATAATTGTACTTCTACGATGACGATCTGATTACGATATCAAGTGTGTGTCAGGGAGATTGACATTTATCTTTCTTTCGTGTGTGTAATGTTTTATCAACTGTTTGCTGATAATCCTTCAAAAAATCAATAGCAGTAATTGCTAATATTTTCAAGCTTCAAGTGTAGGTAACAGTGAAGGTGTACGTACAATCGGTACTGCATCACTGCATGTAAATAGGAATTGAAACCGCTATTGTTAATGGAATCCATAGCAAAAGTATTAAACTTATAGCGTATGCATGGTTACACATGAGTCAACAGTCGAGTCAGTGAACTATATCCTCAGCAAGATCAAAGGCAAAATCTTTAGTTTTCTATGCAATCTGCTTTGGTAATTTTGAACAAATACGTATGTGTATTTTATGTAATTGTTTTTATTTTTTTTAATATGCTATATCAATTCTATGAACGATAAAAAATTATGGGTAAAAGTGGACTTCACTCCACTTTCTGTGAAGTTGGTTTCTAAGAAATCTAAAAATTCCAATAACCCAATAACTTCTCGAAGGGTGGAGCAAACACATCCGCCAAATTATGCTACCCTCTTTTAATGTTAATAGGGTGAGAATTTAAAAAAAAATAAAACAACAAAATAAATTGTTTGGCGATAGATGAAAAATTTATTTAAATAAAAATCATTTGCAGGTTTTAGAGACTGTACAGAATTATCGTCTGGCCAGCTCCCACAAGCGCGTCAATGCTACAACGGTGATGCTGCTGTAACTGATAATCATACATTTTTGCTGTAAATTATTCTTTACGTCTTTTTAATTTACGCTTTTTTTCAACTGTAAGACCGCTGAGTGCCAGATAATTATCTACCTATTCGCCGATCATTGCACGGGCTCCAGCCGAGCAACAAGGATGGAGCAAGGCTAAAAGCCGTAATGTAATTGTTTATTAATATACATATTACATAATACATATATTATCGTAAACAATAACAGATGACTAAAGAGAAATGAAATTATGTTTAACGTAAAATTCATAATAAATCATAACGTCACAGCTTACTATCTCTGAGCTAAAATAACATACACAATATTTATCACTAATCAGTTTTGTCCGTTAATTACATTCATTCTCATCAAAATACATCGATAATTAATACTATTTTTTTTAGGGTCTGTATCGTCAATATCATGCACAATTATAAAAATGCATTTCTACATCCCCATTTCGTCATGTAAATAAATATTTTAAAACGCATTTCTTGATCCTGGGCGCACATCATGGAAAAAACTTCAACATTTTTGTGTTATGGAATACCGTGAAGATTTCTCAGTAGAAACTGCGCCGTCAAATGAAAAATTCAAAGTTTTCATTATAAACATCGTCCTCATGCCTCCACTATATTTTACAACCATTATTTGAAATCTCGAAATCTCGATGGATTTAATTTCAAGGAATGTATACATTTTATTTCTTCGTTTTTTTTAACATTATGATGATTTCAAAAACCAATTAACATCGCAGTTATACTCATAGTTACGCAACGCGTGAAACGGCATTCTAATTTTATCAGCAAACAAGAAAAGCAATAATAAGTAGTACCCAGTACACATCTGAGAGTTGACTTGATCTCTCGCTTAGCTAGTCTCATGTTACTTAAAAACTAGCGAGGACACTCTTGAATTTTTTTTTCTTTCTCTTTTGAAGCAAATAGTGAGCACCTCTTGGGAAAAAAGGAAGTCATCCGAATTTTTATTATCTGACACACGCAGCTCTTTCAGCGCGTCGTTCGTGTTGGTTTTTTTTTCCATCGCTTTAACGGTTATTTTCAATCGAGAATCATTTTAAAACAAAATAAGTTTGTCCATGTGCTTTTTTGAAAACATTGTGTAACTAATCAGAATTTATATTATGTTAGAAAAAAAAAAAGAAAAAAAAGAAAAACTTAACATAAACATTATTATTAATTAAAAATAATCACAGTGTATGAAACGCTAACGGATAGTCACTTTTTTTCAGCATCTTATAAATTAATATTTTTCACCCTTCAAATTACTCAACGTTATACTTTTTCCCTTAAAAAATGTACACCGATTAATCGACGATTACTTACGATACGCAAAATAATAAATATATACATGTACAACACGACAGTGATCGTTAAATTCATCATCGTCGTCGATTATCGTTCACTGCACTAACCTCCGACATATATGTATTATATTTATATAACTTTATATTTTTGACCCTATAAATTGTACAACCCCTTCGATTAGAGATCGAATCTAGATCTCCGATTTGAGATCAACGACATAAATATTTATATATGTATATAAAAAAAAAAGAGCAAGAGCTACCAGTCGACATTACGGTCTGTCGCTCGTCTTTACGAGAAACGAAAAAATAAACCCACATTGATTGCCGGGGCCCATCTAAAAGATAAATAGGGACACTCTTTGTCGCAGAGCTGCGAATTTTACGTGCCAGTGTCTTCTTGGCTTGACGCCGGAGCTCCCGTTTGCGTTGCACCTGCACCTGACGATGCAGCAGAGGCGGCAGCTACCACGGCGGTCGTCTCGTCCTGCTCGAGGCGCGACGAACCGCAGACCCGGCATTTGCAGCAGACTATGCAGGGCGCCGCTAATAAGAGAAGCGGCGAGGCAACCAGCAACAACAAGCCAAAGCCCGCGAAGATACCGATCACCTGCGTCCGGTGCCAAATCACCGAGGCGCGCGAGTGGCCCAGCTTGTTTTTGCACGGACCCTTGTCGTAGTGCCGCAGCAGAAAATCGTCCTGTTGACAAATTGTTGCAAAATCTTGTTAACATCAACTTATTAATTGTTATCATACGGTTAAGTAGAGATTCGTCATTTTTTTTTAATGGAGTAATTTGCAAATTTCACGTTCACAGCTTCAAGGTTTTCCTGCTTACGTGTCCAAAGAGCATATTAGCGTAAGATTGTTTCGCGGTGCAATAAAACGCAACTACATACGCACAATGACGAGCTGTCATATTACAAATTAAACTTTACGCATGCCAGTTCTATCATAAATAAATGAAAGAAAAACGTGACCAATGATTGTATCGATGATTCCATTGAAGCGAGATGAAAAATACTCACGTCCAACGAGGCCAAGCAGTACCAACAAAAGACGTGCTTGCACCTCTTGCACATCATCTGAGCGCAGCCCTCGTCCTTCTCGATCGGCACGGAGCACATCGGGCAGCACTTGATGCGATCGCTGTCGAAGGGTATGCCCAGCGGTAGCTCCGGACAGGGTCCCCGATGCCAGGGCTCGCGGCACAACGAGCAAAAGTCCGTCGAGCAGTTGGGACAGTGCACAGGGCCGGGACTCCCGCTCGAGCCGTCACCGGCGCTGTTCAATGAGCATATCGTCTCGCAGCCGGCCCGTGGACACCAGGCACGCTCCTTGTCCATCGAAACGTCTGCAAAATCATCATTATTATTTATTGTTTTGTAGAATACATGTTTACCATGCAACGCGATGGTATGCCGTGTTAATTGTAGGGGTCAAATTATCACAAAGTGTATAGAGATATCTTGTAAGAGGGGATGGACCATCAGTCGAAAATCGGGAGCGATGTTTCGATTCAAATGGAAGGGTGTATTATGATTTTACTTACGTTTCGACAGAATTATACAGGGACATTGGTCCTTTGGTACATACTGACTTTGATAATATGTTTATTGGGTGCATGACGGTAAAGTATAAAAAATGAGCTCAAAGAAAAGAGACGATAAGGTAAAATAAAATAAAAAATCTCGTGCATAATTACGTGTAGGGGCGTCTCGGCAAGCTATTCGCAAAAAATGGGATCTGCCAGGTCAATTGGAAAGCTGAGATAAGGGTGATTACACGAGTGCAAGTGGTTTTTGTGACTACTCGGACGATAAGTATAGGTGTATGTGTACCTGAGGATTTTAGATTTTCGCCGGTATACCGGTCACTACCCTTATATATACTGACTTTACCGTCGATTACACGCAGACCCAACTTCATCACTGATTTTACGGCGTTAATTGTGTTGGGATTTTTTTTTTAATGTAAATTATGGCCGAATTGTTCAGACGACATTTTTTTATTTGTAGGCTCTTGAAAAAACTTTATTTCCCATGTTTATGTCTTAAGAAGAGTTTTTGGAGTGTAAAAGAGCGAATGATCGATACAATGACGTGAATTGAAAAATACCTCGAATATTGGTGATTTTTCACAACTCGGATAAATTTTTCCCCAACATTCATTGCTCTTAACTATACTCACCGACTTACTTAAAAAATGATTATTTGATGATGTTTAATTCAATGATATTTTTCTGGGCTGGGCTAAAATACAGTTTTACAATTGGTTAAAAAAAAAAAAAAAAAAAAAAAAAAAATTACGCAACCCTTGTACCATTTAATAATTTTAAAATTATAGTTTTTTTTTTATGTTATGAATCATAAGGATATCTTAGAATCGTTAAAAAAATATTAATAACAAAAAGAGTAATCTTCTTCTATAATTTGCCGGTTAATATATCACACGAACAACACAAAGCCGAGGCACTTTATCAAAATGCTTTTGAAATATTCACAGAAGTATTTAAAAACGAATAATAATATTCCGAAAACAGATATCTTATACAAGGTACTTTGAAGATATTTTCAAAATTGTAGTGACGAAAATTGATAATTAATCGTTCCTAGGAAAAATTATTGTCCAACATTAAAAAACGGAATCAACACATTAAGTATATGGAAGTATTTATCATTCTGAAAATATTCTTTTATCACTGATCCTTTAAAATCTAATTTCAACTTATCTCTTGAATAGTATGTTAAAGACATTAAATATGAAACATTTTCATTGATTCGAAAAATTCACTTGAAATTACTCTCGAAAAAATAGTAAATGAGAGCTGATAAAACGACATGAGTTATTTTGCGGATCTTAGAAGATATTCATATTATTTCTAATTATAAAATAATTATTCCAAAATTTTCTTATTAAATAAAAACAAATGTATTTAAACCATAAGTTTCCACTCTCGTTTGATAGTCACAAATACTCATTAACTAATAAACAGTTGTGCTTTTTATAAAAATAATCCTAAAGAGTCGATTTTTCTATTGGAAATGTAAAAAAAAAAAGAAAAATTCTGCAAGTTTCTATTGTATGTTACTTGTTTAAATGAATTTGTTTCAATTAAAACATTGCCTACGCGTAATATCTGGAGTTTTCATTTGAAACTTCCTGGCAACTGAACTAATTAATGTGTTGGCTCTAAATCTTTTAAAGTAATTTTTCACTTTAACAGATTTAGAGAGTATTCATGGACTAGAATTGAGCGTGATTTGATTGACGATAAACGAATTTTGTTATTGGTATATTCGAGCTATTGTCGTCGACTTTTCACATTCAAATGAGTCAAATAATAATGAGCGCGCTCGTGTGTGACGTCTAAATTGCGCGTAATGGAATAATTAAAAGAGTACTTTAAAAAGTCATGTTAGATTATATGTTCCGAATATCATCGTAGTGTGCGTTTTTCCCGTTAAAATTGATAGATTTATAATTATTCACTTACATAGATTAAGGTATGTTTTTTTATTAAACACTGTATGAGTATTGTCAAGTCGGTAGGTACATTTGGTATTTTTTTTTTTTTTTTTTTTTTACTACGTCTTAAAATATTAAGGGAATTGTTTTTACGAGTCCTACAAGACGCTCATTAAACTGTAGATACCAGCAATTACGATTTAATAAATAGCCCATTAGGGATCAACTATATTATGTATTAATAATTCGACATGTGGATTTTATCGTTGTCAAGATGCACAAGTAGAGTTGTTTTTTTTATGGAAAACAATAAACGCAGCACTTTACTCTTGAAAAAAAAAAAAAATAGTTTCTATTAAGGTTTTACGGCAATTCAGTATATTGGTCAAGTAAAAAGTAGGTAAATTAATTTCGCGAGGCCAGGGAGAATATTTTTGTTAATGAATCGAAATGTAGGGGGGGAATAAAATTAACACGGTATAGAATCTTACCTCTGTTGAGACGAAACTTGTGATGTTTTTCGACGAGTTCTGGACTCACAAGCGTGCCGATTTCTTGCAACGAAAGCATACCGTCTTGATCACACTTCGCGTCCGGACAGCTAATGTCGTAAGCTCCTACTTCTATTTCGAACTCCATGTAAGCGCGCATACACTGGAAAACAAAAATACGATGCTCAATCAGTAGTTTTCTTTTCGAAACGTCGCTACCTACGAACCCGCGAAACCAAATCTTGAGGCTTTTTTAAAACGAGTGTCTCGTTTCACGGTGTATAAGACAAGCTTGTACGTAAATATTGACATCCCGGTCTCATGCGGTATACCGATGGATCAACGAAGTTGACAAATAAATGAAAAAAAAAAAAAAAAATTACNAAAAAAAAAAAAAAAAAAAAAAAAAAAAAAAAAAAAAAAAAAAAAAAAAAAAAAAAAGACTTGTATAGACCGATGAAAACGTTCATCAACCAAATCTCGAGCTCAGCCTGTGGGCGTTGTACGTACATCCTTACAGTAGGAGCATCCACAGCCTTCAATAGTAAACATCTGAGCCACAGGTACGTCCGATAGGCAGAGCTTGCAGAGAAAACGCCCGAGGTGGGTCTGCGAGGTGGTCTGAGCCGCCGGGACGAAGTTTCCAGCTGCCAAACTGTACCGCGAGCTCGACGCCAGTGATAAAAGACTCGAGCACCGCGAGCACACCCTGCTGCGGTTGATCGGCCGGCCAGCCTCGAGCGCCAGGGTACTCAGTCCCACGGCGGTCTCGCACTTCCTCAGGGCCGAGGGGTGCAGGCTCATCCAGCTGCCACCTCGACTAGCCTCCAGGCTGGCACTGCTCTCGGGCCTGAGAAGGGGCGCCTCGCCGCTGTGCTTGTTCAAGGAGCGCTCGGCCAGCGACAAGTTGATCGCGCTGGACTCCTTGCGCAGCAGGGGTAACCTTATGCCGCTCAATTTACTGCTGCTACTGCTCATCTTGTCAGTTCTCTTGTGATGGTTGCTGGTCGCGTCGTTGCTGTTGCTGGTGTTGTTGTTGTTGTTGTTGCTTTTGTTGTTTTGGCTGCTGGTCTTGCTGGAGGTCGTTACGGAACTAGCAGCGGTGCCCATGTCCATGGGAGCGGCTCGTCGAAGGACGAGCGAGTGTAGACTAGGCATCCCCTAGTCGCAGCAGCTTGGGGGAGGATGGAAGGGTTGGGAGGGCCTATTTCATTGTCTGCCCACCGCAGCCGATGTCACGATGAGGCCTCTCCTGCTGCTGCCTGGGGAGTCACCTTTTTATGCGAGTGTACATCTGTACCAGGAAGATGGCCTGAAATTTTGGGAAATTTTTTTTTTTTTTTTTTTTTTCCATTAGCACTGCACGACACTTTTTCAATCATTTACACGGCATGTGCAAGAAATGATATATTACAAGTTTCAAGGAAATAGATACCAGGCTAAAGATAACAAAACTGTAAATATACAAAGGTAGAGATTTTCCTTTGAAAGTAATCGTAAAAACTCATCAAGAACTTTATACAGCTATTATTTTTTGTGTTATGATATTCAATTGTATAAAATTATGTAAAGAATATTATGTGAAACTTGAAACATGCCTTAAGATGTACTGATAGTGACAGAAAATTTGTTTACATCTTGGGAGGAAAAAGAAAGATTTAAAGATAACAGACACTTAATTATGAAATATAAGCAAGGACAAGCATAAAGGAGGAAACAGCTGTTAAATATGAAACAGTTTTATTGCATCCAGGAGATTAAGCGTTCATTTAACCAAAATTCAGCATATTAAAGACAATTTTTCTTACCTACACATATACATGACATTTTGGAGCTTCATTGCTTAGATATTATAAAAATTGGGTGAAAAATACAAAGTTGTAAAATAATATGTAAAAGTAAAACATTGCATTAAAAAGTTATAAAATAAAGTAAAACACTCAAGCATAAAACAAGAATAGATGATTATTGAAATAACTTGTGTGATAAGCTTGTGTACCTTTGTAAGTTTTACAACTTTAACTATAAATCTGTGTGACACAAATTTAAAATAAGTGAATCTACTAGGCCAACATGAAAAATATATAATTTTTTTAAATAAATGGGTAAATAAATATGTTTTGCTGCACCATTCAAAGTAACTTTGGTGCACTCTTTATCAAAAAATGCAAACTGATTCTTATTTTCGATTCAAAAGCAAGTTCAAAGACTAGCCAAGCTGTGAGTATATAGTGTCCAAGTTTATAATTTATTTAAAATATTAATATAGGAAACATAAAACATTCAGTTTTGTAAAAAGCACATACACAACAGGAAACAAAAACCATATGTTGTTATGTCTCTAGTGACTAACTTGATGCAACCGATATTTGAAAGTTTGGTTTACCATAAAACAAATAGAGCATAGCACTAACAAGTAAAACAAATGTATATTTAAGTAGGTACCCCCTATGCATATTTAACGACTACTTTATCCACAAATAAAATGAATGCATTTTTATTCCGTGCAAACCATGAAACAATTTTTTTTGGTAAGATAACGTCACTGTTGTGCAATAAACGTACTCCACTTTTATCTATTTTGCATGCAAAACATCAAGCAGAATCTACTTTTGAACAAGTATGAACTGCAAAGCAGACTAAAATAGCATCAGTGTGCCAGACTAAGGTGTATCTGTTCTGTGTCATTTCAAGACTTACACTATACTCCAGCCAAAATTTTGTCGACCAGTGCTCTGCAGTGGGAGGAGCAAAAGCAGTAGTTTATCATTGCCACCCGATGAAAGTCCAACCAACAGCATATAGAAAGTCACTTGCACCAATACTCTTGAACTTCTTTTTTTTTAAATAAAAAAAAAAAAAAAAAAAAACCAGATTGACTCCTGACACTAGTGCAACTCTATTTCAATCCCTGATAACTCACTATTGCAGATACCTATCACACAGAGCTCAGTAGCACTTGGCACTCTGCACATACGAACGTCATCCTCTGGACCACAATGTATCGATACACACGAATACACACAAACCGACGTAAAATAAAAACACAGACACAGAAAGAGCAGATACGTCGTCTTTGTTGTTGTTCGTTGTTCTTACAACTCAGTAGCGAGAATTGATATTTTCCAGAAAGGCGAGGCAGCCAAGCCAACAGCAGCAAGTCGAAAAGTCGCGTGTAAACCAGTGTTATAGGTACCTCGAGGTACTTAACACACTCCTCAGTCCCCACAAATCAGTTTCCGCTTGTCTCTCTTCAATAAAGAGATGTACTTACATAGCTATAGCAAAAATAACAGAACTCCACACACAACTCAGTCACTGGTGCAGTAGCATCGTAGGTCAATCCAATATAGGTGTAGGAAGGGTATACTTAAAGGTGCACAACACGCTTTTGTCCCCTTTTGGATAATAGGTATATGCTGAATCCTTCTTGTTGTTTTTTTATGTGTCAACGACTCTCAGCAGTACTGGTATCATCATACTTGTTACGAAGGGAAGAAGATCGGGAATTAATTATAATCACTAATCACACACGAGTGTACGGACGGAAGAGAGGATAATCGAATAGTGGTGAACGTCGTGTGCAAGTAATAATCTTGAGTGTGGACAGTGTTGTAGTGTTTATGGAAGACGATGAACGACGCGAACCCGATGCTTGTACGTAATGTATATACATGCAGACAGCACCCAAGGAGCACAGCAGAATAACGTATAAAGTGTAAGTATATTATATATATGACTCGCTGTCCGATGCCCGTGTCTTTTGCGAGGAGAGGGCAAGACACAACCTCGACGAGCAGACTACTGCTTACTTACTGCAGACGTGCAGACCGTCGACGGGCTTACTCTCTGGGTGTTCTTTTCTCTCCTCCTCCTCTTCCTCACCCCCGCAACAGTCAGCAACGACAGCAACTCAGCACGCTTGAGCGCCTTATGCGCACAGCGTAGTGGTCGTATATTTACACGTTTACTCATATATCTGTATTTATATAAACCATGCGGCACGCGCGCACACACACACACCTCTCGGAAGATCAGGAACAGATCAGCAGAGCAAAAATGATCCTGCAGAGGTTTGATTCACCAACTATAGGTATACTTTACTTACCTTTTCATTGTTCTGAAAAAAGACTGAAAAAAGGTATACATAACTTGTGGTTTGAAAGTGCAGCACACACTAACTCGACTAAGTACGACATCCCCCCCGATCTGCGCTCTTTTTGCTTTCACGTACGCTATATATGTAAGTACTACTTACTCTGCGCCTGCATGACAAAATCCGTGGATCAGACGATCGGCGATCGACTCCAACTCGGATGATGCCCTCAGATGCTGATGGTCCTGGTGCTCTCTTTCTGCTGCGCGCTCGCGTTTATACGTTGAAGATGTAAGTGTAAGCCTCAATACTTTATACTGCTAGAAAAGTTTTTTTTTTTTTTTTTTTCCCAGAACAAGCTTGAAGTCACTCTAAGAGGTCGACTCTACAAACTCTACTCTCTACAATCGTTATCCATACACATACCTACCTATCAACCACTCCGGACTCCAAAATCTAATTGTCCGGTGTGCCGGTCCCAGCCGATCGTCGAATGCAACCCATTGTTACAATGGTGACAGCAGTTTGACCATACATTTTTTACAGTGTGCTTTTTGTTTTCTTTTGCACGATGCATTACCGTCGTCTATTTAAAAAGGCCTATATATACTAACGTCCAACTGGAACGACGTGCAACGAGCAGACACACACGAGAGCGTTCGCGAATTTTCTTCCATCAGCGAGAGAGCGAGTAAAGGTATAGGGTATAGGAAAAGAAAATTTTCGCTCTTTTCGTCCTCTGTAACGTTGCACACGGTTAAGCAGCGTAGACATTGCCTATATATAGCTGGCATGTGGTCATCCGCTGATTAACTGCGAACGATACCTTGATGACAATTAATTAAAAACATTGATCGTCAATCACCAGGTGGTAAGTGAAAATTTTTTACGAAACCAATAACACGTAAAAATCTTACTTCTCGGCGTGGGTCAAAGTGCCCAGATGTGATGCTGGCAATCGCTATTATGGGCATGAACGATGTGCGCGTCCATGCAACCGGTGGTGAGCGAACGAGGTGACCGGGTTGTGGAATCGGATCACGCCGTTGCGTATAGTCCCTTGATAAAAAGAAAGTGAAAAAAAAAGCGATCTGTGATATAATCCACGAAAATTTTTAAGGATTACCGAGCAAGCCACTATAGTATAGCAAAAGGAATCTCGTGTTTTTAATAGGAAATAGAAAAAAAAGGTTGTGCCAAACATGCTGTACCAAGACTCACGTATCATTAGGAACAAAGCAAAAACTAACCGACCGGTGAAGTAAGAGTCATAGCGATAACGGTGACACTTAAAAGTAACGATCGTATAAAGAAAGCAGTTGAGAAGGAAACTATAAAAGCGCGAGTACAAAAGGCAGAGAGGGGGGGGGGGGTAAAAACAACAACTGGAGTGAGATTAATTAACAATTTACTCGGTGTTATATATAGTGTAGCCGTTGGTCGTCTTGTATACTATGTACAAAAAGTTACCCACCGCCTGTTAAAGAGCAAGGGAGTATTTCATGAATAAATAAAGAAAAGGAAAGGACCAAGCTGTGGGTCTTTGGACCCCGGGCATCTGTTGCCATTCAAAAATATGCCATTGTAAAATCTTTTTTAAAGAAATAATGCTCTCGTACAAGTAAATTGTATTTATTCCACAAACTTCATTGCTCAAACATAATATTAGCAAGATAAAATTGTTTGTCCGCGTCTGTACTAACTTTCTGAGCAAGTTTTGATTTAAAAAAAAAATATGTTATCTTAATTTTATAACTATATGGCCCAAATACGAAAAATTTGAGGTGATGTTTTCGGATTTTGCACTTATGCGTCTCGGTAATGTCACTCTACAAGATACCTGTAAAACACTTTGTTCTCGGCAAATTTTGCTGCTCCTTCTAGACAAAGCGTTTTCTTCCGGTTTCCGATGGTTAAGTTGTTATACTATCATTTTTTTTATTTTTTACGCTTGTTTATAAACTACAGTTAATTTTTTTTTTTTTTTTTTTTTTTACAGAAAAAAGTACTTTGTTAAATTTACTTTCGTAATGCATTTTTGACTTTGTACTTTGTTTATCAGCAAAACAACGTGTACAAATATCAGCGTCAAAAATGATTGTTAGTTTTAACAAATTTAAACAACCTCCTAACCATCCTTAACACGATGCAATAAAAAAAAACAATAGCTTCTGTCAGAGTCTAAAAAAAAACGTGAAGGAAACATGTTCTCGTATGTAAAAATATATATTTATATCTCTCTCATTAGCCGTCAAAAGCCACACAATACACTCGGTCGTTGTCTAATTGCCGTCGCGTAAATCGCGTTAAAATGAACTTTCATTGCATTGTATACGCAAACGTGTACTGTTTTTTTAACTTTCCATCGTGAAATGCACGTGAATATTGCATTTGGTATCATTACACTTTGGATTCACCGAAAAATAAACAAGTACGAGTTCGTGATGTACAAATATCAGCTTGAATGACGAAAAAAAATAGTTTATTTTTTATAGCCACGCTTTACGCGAACGCAGTATACATTTAAACGTCGTTGGCTCTATATCTGTCGAATAATTTTCGATAAATGACTAACGAATTAATCTATAAAACACTATACTGATTAAGCGTTAAAAAAAAAAAAAATAAAAAAAATAAATAAAAAAAAATTAAAAAAATAACGTACACGTGCGATGACGAAATTCTATGATAAATATGACAGCAAGTGTACTTTCGTCCAACGTTCAGAGAAGTTTTTCCGGAGGGAGAGAGAGAGAGATTGTTATCCAATAAACAGCTGCAGAAAGGCGTCATTTCCGCGGGTCTCTTTCACCATATAGCTGCAATAAGCCTCTTTATTCTCCGACATGCATAATACAATACAAGCACAAATAATTTCCTCCACAACTATACGTACAAGCTCGTCACTTCCTCGCATACGCGATCAGCTGCATATATATATATATATATATATATATATATGTGTGTGTATGTAATACACTATAAAGCGAAGGCGAAGGAGGTGATTAGAGACGGATATCGCGGTTGCAGCAGCCAGAGCCGCGAAAAAAGATGCATTTACTAGTAGGTGGTTATATATATATATATATGCAAGAGGAAAAGATGCCCCCTTGCAACAATCCGAGCCGCATGAGCGCAATGTTACAAGCATCTTTCTCCTTCGTCCCACCCTCTTCGCCTTGGCTTATCTACGTGCCGGCTTTTTTTTCTCTCTCTCTCTCTCTTCCTCGTGATAATATCGACGAGTGTGTGTGTGTGTGTAATTACGTGTGTAAGCTCACGCGCCGAGATTCGCGATAAGGCCCCTGTTGTTGCATGCCCTCTTTGTTGGTGGGATGTAGCGAGCAGAGAGAATCTCCGTCGTCTCCTTTCCGCTGTGTGTGTGTGTACACGAACTACAAACATCCACGACACTTCGAGGATTTTTCGTATTTTTGTAATGATTAGTAATTTGCCATCTCTTTGAATGAAAGGTATACGAGTACTCGGCGGGTATAAGTACATATATGTTTGTGTGGGAGGAGAAGAGAAAAAAGTGGGTAAAAGTAGCGCGAACGAGTGACCGTAACCGAAGATGATGGCTTCTTCCATATTCGTATTTATACGTGTGCACCAACGATGTACGAGTGGCTGAATTTGGGATCTCTCCGTCGGTTTGACCTCTTTTTTTTTTTTTTTCAAAGTAAGTACACAGTAGGTAGCGGCTGTTAAGGTGGGCGGTCTTGATTCGCGGTACGCGATACAAACATGCTTCCTTCTATGTCATGCAAGTTGAGTTTTTTGAAAGTTGAGGGCGGGACAAATGAAGAAATCTTATTGTGCATGAGGCATGCAAGTTTTTTTTCCCCCAGAAAAAGTGAAGAGAAAAAGAAAGAAACGAAAATTCAAACAGTTAATTGCAAGGCAATATAAAGTTGTAAACCGGTGATTGTTTTGCAATGTACAGGGATAGTTGGTGATGTGTTCATATAGGTACTCGCTTTCCATCCCCATCTCTCGCTCAAGTGAAGGCTTGTACTTGTGTAAAAAAAAAAAAAAAAAATCCCCATGACTGCTCAAGTTTTCGATGATAACAATGAGGTGTGCGAATAAAAGTGGCATTTAACACTACAAATCTTGAGGATAAAAATAAAAGTCGCAAAAGTATCATCAGGTTGTCCCCCGAAAACCACACATCATCCGCTGCGTCTCCAAAATCAGACTGGAAATAGAAAACCAAAGATTGTTCCCCAAGGAGGTAAGATGTATTTTTAAACCGTACAACCGATGTGACGTACAGATATATAGGTTCAAACACACGCAAGCGTTTATAGTTGTTGTTCGGAGACTCATCTTTTTTTTCCCCCCCGATGGATGCATCAGCGCTTATTTGTACATATATACCTACTATATGTATGCTTGGACGCGCTGTTTGATATTCCGTTTGCGATGACCGAGGCTCTCCGACATGCACGAGACGACGACAGCTAGCCAGGTGATGTGTTATTAAAAATGTGCCGTTCCGTCAAACACCTCGCACACAACTTTGATCGCGCACGTGAGAGCTTGCATGCGCGTCGCTCATTCTACAAGCTGAAGTCTACGAAAAATCATAGAATGGAGGAATTATATATAAATATATCGGTTTGGATGGGTTACTGGATCTACGACTCAGCGTTTGTATCAAAGTATTGAAACATTTGATAGAAAAGCTCGTGCAAAAATAATTAGTTAATTTCCCTCTCCAGAATCAATGAAAAAAAAAGCTCTGTCGCAATAAGTTTGTATCTGTTTTATTCAAAAACCCAAAAACCTGAGAGGAGAAAAAAATACTTGGATCGCGTTAAAGATTTCGAGAGTATCGGGATGACGAACGACGATCGCAAGGGTTGACGTATGTGTAACCTTGGTTGTCGACAAGTGCCACGCGTATACATCGATCTCGTTATCGCTTTGTATTCCGGTCAATTTTTTGTTTGCGTGTAAGGCAAGTAAAAAAAAAAAAAAGCACGTGTCCAATAATCATCATTTGACAAAAACCCATCCGACGTATATAGCAAATGGAACGAAAAAAAGAAAAAAAAAACATTTCTTTTCACCCGCACAAAGATCCAATTGAGTAATGGACAATGCGCGCGTACACGAGACGATTACCATCAGCGTGTACATAATTCAATCCTTTTGGTATCGAGTGATGAGGTTTCAATTTTTCAAAATAAAAGCCACGCGCTTGCAAGACAGTGGGTAAGTATAATATATACCACGTGTACGCTGCACGTCCAGTGAAAATGAAAAAGCACCGGATATATAATGCACGTGTATGAGTGTGTGTGTATGCATAAACAGCAGAGAAAGTTTACGATGGATGACTAGCTGTCTCATAGGTACTTTCCGACTGTCCGGCTGCGTGGCAAAAAGCACGTACGTTTACGTGTATACATCCGCACCAGTATAAAAACAGCCGGGAAGTGTTAGACACGGTTCAACATGGTCAGCTAGGCATGTATGATGCTTAAGTACCATATCTACAACTACAAAAATTAGTGCGTAATATATCTATATCGTAAAAGAATTTCTCCCTCGCTTACGCACACCTTGAAATTTTTTTTTTTTTTTTTTTTCCTCGTCACCGGCTCATCCCCCCTTTTTTTGCATTGCTCGGGAGATCGACTTTATATACACTTTCAATTTCTACGCGCAAGTATATAGGTACAACGAATCCAACGAGGGAATCAGCGTTTCTATATGAATACTCGAAGGGACGCGCGAGACCGTGTCGGAAAATAAAGTGAAATAAAAATCTTTTTCACGCGCTTATTGTAAATTGTATATCATTCATGGGACATACGTCGCGTTAACGCACGTGATACACCTGAAAAAGCCCAGCTAGATACATTTGTCACCGTGTGCGACTTTCACTCGTCGAACTTTGATTTAATGCGCGAATTTGTAATACACTCACGAGTGCAGAGGCCAATAAAATGTATATACCCATTCGGGAGAAAGCACTTTATATGACATCTGTAAACTTTCCAAGACTCGGAAGATCATGAGGTGCACTCGTATATTTACACTTGGAAAAACCAATATTATTTTTATTACCTGCGTCGAAATTTATTTGTGGACATCGATGTGGAAAAATCATTACAAAATTCAACCAATCGTCCATCTCGTTTATTTTGACGGCAAAATTTGAAACATTTTTTTTTTTTGTATAAATCGAAAGCCGAGTGTGACTCGGCCGAATCTAAACAAACTAATACAATGAAAGATAAGAAACACGACTGAGCCTCGCAATTTATTTTTTGTGACCTGTATATAGGCGCGTGGACGGTTTTTGCAAACGTCATTCCTCAAATCCCCCCTGACAATAGACGATTTCCATAAAAATATATATACATGGAGGACAAAGCAATGCGATACAGAGTCTTTTGCTCTCTTATGAATATGGAATGTAAAAAATAACTAGACTCTGACTTGGAAAATCTGGATTTTTTTCTTCCTAGTTGACGTTGGCGTAATTCCCTACACTAGTGTGTGATGAACAAAAAAAATTCAGGGAGCCATAAGACTTTTTTTTTGTATACTTTGCGCAAACACACATTCCTGCAAGGCTTCTGTTATTTCGAGCCGGCAAGAATAGTTCAAGCTTCTCTCGTACACTCTCTGTACAATAGATAAGAATCCGTAAAATGCTTCTTGAAAAATTAATCAAATTTCGTTTGTACTGTTACTTGTATAGGATGAATCAAAAAAAATTTTCTTTTGTTGGAAAAGGTTAAAGTGTAGAAAAAAGTAGAGCGGTATAACTCGTATGATTTTTACGTGGATGTATGGGGAGTGAGCATCGTGACTCTGTAATACGACTACAATAATAGACGTTTTCTCTCAGACGATTTGGTTCTTTCTTATGTTTTATTTCTTTTGTTTTTCACGAGACTGTGAGCGCGTCGAGGGGGGTAGGGGCTAAAAAAAAGGGTCGAACCGTACGCTCATCCACACAGATGGTACGTGTATTTTTCTTGTCATAAATAATTTAGGCATCGTGTCGAATTATCTTCGACCCAGTACCCACACCACGTTATCTTGATTTTTCTGTGTTATTACAGTGGCTGAAAAAGTCTACTACCCACGTCGCTGTACTTACTAAGTATGTCCCAGCTACTCTCGACTTGTTGTCCCGAATGTGTACAAATATTTAGTTTGTAACAGTATAAGTGACGACTGAAATCGTTTTTTTTTCTTTTTTTTGTTTTTTTTTTTTCCGTTCATAATACCGACTCTTGGCTCAGTTGACAGATATCTCTTCGTGCACAGAAAGAGTATAATTTTTTTTCGATTTCGTCGAATGCCAAGAGTAAATTGAATTTCTCTTTACATTAGTGCCGAGTAAAAATGTTATTTTAATTTTTTTTTTTTTTTTTTTTTGCATGATACGTCGAATTACGATACCCAGTGGTTGATTAAATACGTGCCTGCGAGAGCAAGTGGTGCGTATACGAATATACATGTAATACTAAATAATATTCATCGTTGATGCTGCCTGTCAGATTTTTTTCCGAAAATCTAATTAATAATTTTTGACCAGAAAATTTTTTTTTTAAGCTTATATGATACAACACTCGATAATAATTTCAAAATAGCGCCACATGTTTTTAGAAAATAAAATTTTTGCAGTACCAATACTTCCAAATACTTTGAACAATTCTTTTTTTATGTTGCAGGCTGGACAAAAATTTCTTCAATAAGTTTACTGTGTTGAAAAAAAAAAAGAAAAGAAAAAAAAAATCATTCAAGAGAGTATCTATATCCAAACCTACTAGGTATTGTATTTGTTTTTGTATAATTATAAATTGATAGAAACAAAAAAAAAAAATTTTTGTTTCTCCGTGAAACTACCGCACACTCGTATGTCGAGTAGATATCAGCTGATTTGCATTTCGCATTATCGGAGTTTCAGATTTGCCGAGCGAGAGAGAGAGAGAGAGAGAGAGTCCGCACATACACGCACACAGGAGTGCAGAAACAGCTTCACGGAAAATCGCAATTCTACCGAGTAAACGAGCGAGCGAGCAAATTCAAAAAAACAAAACACACACGCACATACAATACACGCTTGACATTTATGCCTCAGCGAAAGTTCAATAAAATCAGTCGATTTGCATTTGTTTGCTTTTTTTCGTCTTATTTTTTATTTATTATTATTATTATTGTTTTTTTTTCGTTTTGTTTTTTGCGTTTTCGTCGATACGCTCTCTGCCTACCTATATGCGTATACGAGTTGCGAGATGTCCGATAAGGCTGTACGAGTGTAGAGATGGTTTTTTTTCCTCGCCGAGGCCGCGTCGGCGAAAAACTAATTTCACGTGTGTTGGTGTGTATGTACCGACTACTAACAAAAAAAAAAAAAAAAAAACTCGGTGGTTAAAAATAATTGCGTGGACATACGCGCATACGACTGATTCCAGAGGAGCGATTGTACAGCCCAAAACGCCACGCAATAAAGTGAAAAATGAAAAAAAAGAAAATTTATATTAGAAAGGATGACCCTTGCAAAAAACTGTCCGAAGGGAGTCCAAGCTAGAATTAATTTTTTTTTTTTATAGAACCGCTCGAGTGCAGGCATCAGTTTCTCTTCAAGTGGAGCTGAGGTGATGGCGTTTGACACCACTCGTATGCTGACATATATATAATGCGAGAACGTTCAGGATATGTATAATGGTTCAGTAATGAGACACACATAAGACCATATACGTGTGAGTGACAACCGCGAGTGATTGACGCTAGCTCGTCTCCTCTTTCTGATGTATACCTTCAATTGCGGGTACAGCGTGTAGGTATAGGTGCGACCTGCTGTTACTCGCAGAGAAAAAATAACAAAGGATTTAGCAAAGTTTTTTTTGCTCTCGCAGTATAGGTAGGTACTCATAGGTGATTGTTTGAAAAAAAAAAAAAGAGGGAGAGTGGCTCTGTCGGTGCAAAAATATGTGTTAAAGCAGTAAAAGGGCTTCGAGCCCGTGTATAAACATGCGGATAAGGAACGAAAAGCCACTCCCTATTTTTTCCTCAAAACTGCGACACTATTGTACATAATATAAATATAGGTATTTATACTTTGAAGTGCTTCAATGTCAGCCGCAAGTGCACGTTACACAAATACATGCGTCGTTGCAACATGCACTTGGAAACGCCCTCGCTCCGAGTTGCGAAAAAGAGATTTTTCTCTCTGCTAATTACCTATCCACGTATATTATACCGGATCGCATTGTGCGCACTGTCGATGGTCTCCGGGCATTAATAATTGATGATTTTTGTTTCGTACAAGCGGTGTGGGCGAACCGTTGGAAAAAAGAAAATCACATGTATACCGCTTGCGCAGCGCGTGTCGTTAATTAATAAGAGCGAGTCGGCGCGCGTGTGCGCGAAATTAATAAGTATATTGATTCGCGATTAGTGTAGGTATATATGTATAATATGTATAACGTGTGTATATATTGGCCGTAGCTGTTGTTGTTGTTGTAGAAGCTCTGATGAAGAGCGCGACTGAAATCCGATTAGTCACGTTTCGAGAGTGATGATGATAGTACAGCGATAACAACAACAATAACGGAGTCGGTGGTGGTGGCGATAGTGATGCGAAAAAAAAAGAAAAAAAAAATCGGCTGCGTGATTAATAAGATGACGAGTGCGCGTGTTGCATTCAACTGGCTACACGTGCGCGAAGATTTAATATTTAGAGTTGAAAATATATAACTTAGAGGTGTGAACGAGATTTTTTTTTTTTTTTTTTCATGCACATATGTAAAATACAATTAATTTGGGTGCTTCTCTCGCAAAGACCGTTTCATTTCGCTTTCCAATGAATTGACAAATATATATATATATATATATATCCACCGTATATACGATGAAAAATAGGGTAATAATGGCAGTTGACTATAAGTATCATGTTCTTTTGTCTTTCAAGAAGTTGCCGATGGGTTACGTGACACAGGCTGGTTTAATGCGAATTTCAATATTCGTGCGTCTGTATATGGGCAATGCTGTGAAAAATGCTTACCATTACGATTGACAAAACAAATTGGGATCACCAAAAAAAAAGCTGCAACACACTTGTTTTACAGATAACTTTTGAAATTTATCGAAACAAATAATTTTTCGTGCGCGAGCTGCTCCTTTTTGTGCAGCAGATCTTTATATATTTAAATAAACTCCCCAGTTTCTGAGAATGTCCTGTTTTTTTTTTTCTTTTTACTAAAATAAAATTTAACGTAAAAGCTCAGTTGATACAGTCTTCACAAGCATATATATTAATGTTTGCCGCATACTTTTTAGTAGAAACGCTCCTGTGCATGTAAGGTTCGAGCGAAACAATTTAATGCCATTATGTTACATGTTACATACATAAGCGAGAGAGAGAGGACGCCTTACTAGTTCGATTATGCGATTGATGTTTTGATTACCAAACAGACGATTATATAGAGGGTACAGTCGAGAGTATAGGTAATTAGAAGCCAATCGAGTGGTGTATATAATATGGTACACGCGTGCACGTAACGGCGCAACGAAGCTGGGAAAATGTTGCCTTTTGAGAAATACCTAATCGTTGAAAGAAAAAAAAAAAAAAAAAAAGCACAAACAATTAAGACAAAATTATTTGTAATCAGCTGATTTGCATTTCGCATTATCGGAGTTTCAGATTTGCCGAGCGAGAGAGAGAGAGAGAGAGAGAGTCCGCACATACACGCACACAGGAGTGCAGAAACAGCTTCACGGAAAATCGCAATTCTACCGAGTAAACGAGCGANAAAAAAAAAAAAAAAAAAAAAAAAAAAAAAAAAAGCACAAACAATTAAGACAAAATTATTTGTATCCCGCATCTTTTGAAACGAATGATTTTACTTTCAAATGTTTCTTCATCTTACTACACTGCAATAAAAGCTTACGAATACCAAATGAATAAAATATATATAGTTGCGAAATTAAACGACTCTGTGTGTGCACGAGACTGTACAAAATACAATTCAAATAGAACAGAGGAGCAAAGGGAAGAACGCCGAGTTCGAAGGAACTTGTATGATATATATAGCATCCTTGATTTGTATATCGTTCCATCGTAAATTTTACCGCAAACAATAGCCTCGCCAATAACAACTACCTATACGAAGAGAAAACCCAAACCGCAATCAAAATTCGCCTTCGAATGCGGTGCGAGGAATCAAAGGAGATCCTTGCTCCTCTGGGACATCCAACAATACGTATATATGCATGTATGTACATCACACAACGGTATATAATATACAATACTTTTAACGGAAGAGCACGAAAAAACTGCACGCGCCGCGCACGTGCTGATGCTGTGACGTGTGGACGCGGAGATCAAGGCTCTCTTGGCTGCAATTAGGAAATTTTTTTTTTCACCCCCCACTGACGAGCCACTATCATGCAGTGTGTGTTTGTGTGTCCTGATGCTGCAATCAGTGTTTTTAGTTCAACACAATAATATAATGTGGTGTATATGAAACATTACAAATATTTCGTCTTACATGAGCTTATAAACGTTAGAACGTTAGATGAGGCAAAGTTCGTAAAGAGACACGAGAATCACACACATATACTTACGTGTGCGAGGAAAGAGGAGGTGGAGGGAGCTGCGGACTATCGTTGCGGATGTTTCGCTGATGTGTTATCGATTTTGATACGCGCCTTGACCGCCTTTTCCGAGAGAGAGGATAGATATCTTTGCTGGCGGATGGGCGAAATTTAAGGGGCGCGAGTGGAGTGTTCTTCTCTTTTGCTCCTTCCTCTCTTATCCCGTTGAGTTGAGCGTTTGCTCTTAGCCTCGACCTTCGTCCCTCTTCTTTGCCTTTTGCGAGGGTGAAGGTTGGAAAAATATATATCTCACTTAATATCTATACATATACCGTACGCGATTATATGTGTGGATGTTGGACGAATGTGTGACTTTTTCTTTCACGGACGGACGGAAGCTATATATGCTTACCACCTTTCAACGTTTTCTCCAGTCATGGCACAATAAACAACGTTATTTTTTCAATGAATTGATGTATAAGTAGTAATGGAACATATCATCATTTTTTAGTCGATAAGGGATTTTTACCACGCTTAAATTTACTTTTTTCGACGCGGTTGATGGTATCACGGTAAGTATACTTACTATACATACATCTTTCGCAATTTGCAATGCTCGCATTGATGGAGTTTGAAATGCATGCGCGAGGTTCGACATTATGCAGAGAGTTGTATATGCATATGAGATCGTAAATACTTAATTGTTATTCGTTCTCATTATTTACGTTATTATGGCTCATACTTACCTTTGGACATCAGGACATTCGGGATTCATGAGCGTCGTGTGATCCTCCGATCCTCGGCTATACTTTTGTTATAACATTTAGCATGCAAATGACTATACATATAGCTAAATGACTGTAGCTAGACAAAGACAGCAAATATCCAGATGGCGAGATGGTCAGATGGCTGAGATGGCGAGTTGTGCGCATGCGCGAAAGTCACCCTTCAAATGCCGCCAAGAGTACTCGTACGCTAGATGGCGCTGATCTCATTTTCTGCAGTTTATTTTTTATTTTGGCCAGTTTCACATGCTTCCGTGTGCCTTTATTTAAGTATACTTATATATCATTAGTGAAGGTCTTCAATCGTACCGTTGACATCCTCAGGTTATTGGATTCAATGGGCAAACTTTTGAAGGATCGCGCCACCTCGTAGTCGATAAGCTACTTTTCTTTCATTACCAATTGAAGGCACACTTATCACTTCTTACCGACTGATGGAAGATACAATTTTAGAAATTTTGATGATTGTTGGCATATTCTTGTTGTTGCATGATTATTTTTGTTTTGAAATATGATTTATCATGTAAGATCTAATTAATAAAGCATATATGGTTAATAGCTGTGTAAAAGTAAATAATAGTAAAAGGATATACAAGCAGAGGTCGCACTGCAGAAATTACTTCTGCTAGTGTGCTAGTGCCGGCTGATGGAAATGCGCAGCAGAACAAAAACAGCCGAGACGTAAAATGTATATTGTTTGTTTATTTGTTCCCTAATTTTAGTTATAATGGCGCATGACAGCACTTTCTAATACATAATCGAGTGCTTTGATGATTATTTTCAAATCTTGTTTGAATTAAAAAGTTATTGCGATGTTCGGAGCTGTGGTTGGTGTTTCAAGACTGCACCTTCGGATCTGTCCAAAATGCGACAATTTTGCGGTATCCAGAATATTTAAACCATATGCTGCACAAGGGTTTGTAAATAAACAAATAAATCAACTTCCACGAGCACTGAGAAATTTCAGTAACTGGAAATCGCCTGTTTTAAACAAATCATGTTGGAGGTATGAGGTTATGTCAAGTATATATATACTTAAAATCAAAATTTGTTTATAAATTTTTGTCTCAAGCTTGTGACCAACTCCGATTTATTTCCAGAACTTATATTATCGGATGGAATCAGTTCAGCAAGCAGGTGGTATCCAAGTCAAATGCTTTGAAACGCTTTGAAAGTACAGGCACTGCTAGTCAGAACAATCCCTTGAGAATAAACACAAAAATAAAAAATAACGTTATGCTGTATAGATTGGAGAAAGATATTTTTATAAGAGGATCTTTGCTGTTTGGCATTGTTGCCATGATTGGTTGTTTGTTCATGGCTGACAGCGTTTATATGGTCTTGTGCAAGGACCTATTCAATCCTACCATACCATGGAAAACAAGATTGTATGATAATATTTTTCCTGTATCTGCTGTCATTATTGGAATACTTGCAGGTATCTTTTGCTCTTTTTGTTTAATCTATATTATAAATCCAATACTTGGAATAATTTGTAAGCAACCAATCATCCAATTGATCATAATTTTTTTTAGGACCACTGATATTAACAGCTGTCTGGTTTATCACTGTCAGAACTGTAAAGTATGTTGTGTTGCACAAGGGTGGTGAAAATGTGACTATCGTTACTTATCACCCTCTATTCAATTTCAAAAAAATGACAGTTCCCCTATCACATGTAATTACACTTTTTACTTTTAATAAAACACGTGGTTGACAGATTTCTTAAAAAAATTTTTATTTTTATAGGTGGACTGTAAAACTTCCAGAACCGAAGCAAAGTCATACGCAATGATTAAACTCAAAGAAAAGAAATATCAATTTTTAATTGATAAAACTGGAACTTTTGTCAATCCAGAGCTTTTTGATTGTACTGTAGGTGCTTCACGAGCATAGTTTTTTACTCATGTTTGTACATATCAAGTTGAATATTTCAAATAAAATGCATAGTGTTAACTTTTAAAATATTAAATGTGTGTAAATAAAATTATTAAGGATAAAAGAGCATCACTAAATTTTAATTTTCCAGAGGCTTGCTACGCCTAGAAAAAGGGTAAAAAGGAAATAAAAATAGAAATATAATTCGTACATTGAAAGTTCACTTTTATTCATAAGATTTCTTTATTTTTTGATTTAACATAATTACAGGTATTCGATAATTAAATGTCAAAAAGATTAATCGATTTATATTTACATATATATATATAGATGCATATTTATCACATACTTATTTACAATCAAGTGCTTAGAATGTATTCGAAGACTTTTGAAGTTACAAATTGTTTTTCAATTCACAAGAAAAGAACATCGTAGTACACCCAAAAACGCATTTATTTTTCGTTCATTCACACTGGTCAGAAAATTTTTTCGATAATAGCGTTTGAAGAATCGGGTTCCTTTATTTTTCATCTGTAACACGTAAATTATCGTTATCGCGAGTTCAAACTCTCATGTCTTTGGCAAAGGTGTCGGCGTTGGATTGATTTTTAGTACGTATTTAACTCGATAAATTGTACTTCTGGACGACAAAAGAGAGCATGTATTTCTTACCTTTTTTTGATATCAATCCTAGCTCACGACACGTTTTGCCATTTTATTTACACACACATACTCACTCACACAAATAATTAATTGTCCACTAAAGCTTTGACTCCCAAGGATTCAATATTTCTGTTTTTTTTTTTTTCTTTTTCCTACATGAAACTAGATGAAAAACTTTTTTTTAAATTTCATACATTATTAGTTGAATGGCAAAATTCCATAAATTTTTTTCGGAGAAATTTTGACGCACTTTACAACATACAGGCATTATCATTATTCTTGTATTATTTACAAAGTCGACCGCGAAATACGTGCCTAAAATTTAATTTTGATTTGAGAATTACAATTTTTGTAAGTTAATTTTTTTTACATACAGTCGTTTCTCCCTCACTGTTGTTGTTAGTCTAATATACGTTTTTTTTTTTCCTTAATTGATTATTCGTTATAATACGTATTAGTCGAAAGTTTTCTTAATTGATATACGTATAAATATATGTCATAGGTAGAAAGAAAGTACGAAAAGCGTATCTTCAGAAAATTTTAGATCTTTAAAATCTGAATATCGTTAAATCCCTAAATAACAGTACGGAAGATTGGACTGCATTTTGCCGAAAGTTTCTCGAACTCGAAGACGCCAAAGCAAATTTTTTTTTCTCTCGTCGCAATTTTTAAGTTCTTTGCCACGCAGTTATAAAGATTTTTCCACGATTTTGTCAAAGAGAGTAACACCTTATTTACGCGTTATCATCATGAAAAAGTGCAGATAATCATTAGAGACTATTTATTACTATAATTTTTAAAAAAGTAGTTCTCTTACCTAAAAAGTTTCCTTGTTTTTCATCTACTAATCTGCGGACACTTAAATATTACACACGTTTACGGATGTCTTTATTTTACGTATATTCATAAATACATAGTGTTTTCTTNTATTTGTTGTACCATCCAAGTTACCGCGTAATCTGTAAATAAATAGTTTACGAGTAAGCGCATTGACCAGGGAGTACTTTTTTTTCCTGTAAACAGATATTTTTTTTTTTTTTTTTTTTTTTTTTTTTTTTTTTGAAATAAATTTGGGCTTGCGATTCTCCGCTCTTGATGTTGACAAACTGTGCCATTTGTTTTCGACCTTTTTTTCTCAAAATACTATGTAACTTTTCTTATTATTTGCCGAAACTTTTTCGCATATTTTTATTTTATTTTTTTTTTTTACCAAAGAACCTGTAAATCGTCGCCACGATTTTTTTGAGGACTTTTATTTAACTTTTGTACATCACAAAGTGTTCGTAAGATTTCGTGTTACGTTTGACGCATTTCAAAGCAGAGCATCGCTTGACAATAAAATTTTCATCATCACCCTTACGTTCTTCTTTTAATGGCATCTAAATTGGAAAAAACATGTGACTTTTTTTTATTCATCAATACGATATCGAGTATACGTTACAGAGAAAATTTTAATTTCGATATTACATTTTCACACTCACGCACAGTCATACAATATCATTAACGTAGAGATCGAGGTGATTAAAAAATTGTCAAACCTTTGATACTATATTTTCTAATTAAAACACAATTTCTTAGCTCGAAATAATCCAGGATGCGTGTAAATCGTAAGGGGCTCTTAAACGTGAAAATTCATTTAATATAATGTGATTCTCGTGCACACCTCTAAATTCCACACTATAGTGGAGGGATAATTAGATGAGGTTATTTTGGCGTATTATTTTTCATTCTCATTAAATTTGTTTACTGAATTATCAACTAATTTTTTTCAAAGTGCATAAAACCCATCACAAGTGCTGTTACTCATTTTTTTTTTTTGTTTCCTCGTCACTTTATGCTGGTTCTCGTTAAAATGCGAGAATTCGCAGCGAAGATTCGAAGTAATTAGTTCGCGAAAGTTCGGGGGAGGAAAGAGATATATACCTTGCACTCATCCGGATTCTTTCGAGCATAAACTGAAGGAGGAAGCTTCGACATTAAAATTTTTTTACATGCACAGACGCATATAATGAGGTCCTCGCTCGGTTTATTTTTTTTTTCTGCGAATAACATAATTTTCTTTTTCCTCTGACAAAAATCACCCTCGGAAGTAGAAATGTTGCACGACTCGGTTAAAAAAAAAAAAAAAAAAAAAAAAAGTATTTTTTGCGTGACTGAATATTTTTGGGCTTGATTGTTTGTATGCACTTTTTTGCCTGACACTTATCGCTATTGTAAAGAATACAATAACAAAAATCATTCTTAGATATATTACTATTTGTCGTCGGATTTCTCATTAAATTGATACGGAAAACTTTGCAGTACACGGCTTTGTTTCATCTGTTGTAACTGTAAAAATTATGTTCATTTGTTACTTTACTTTTTAATTCTTCGGGCTTGTTGCAAAAATAAAACGCTGTGCTTACTTCTTTCTTATTATTTTTCTTTGTTAACACATTTTTATTTTTTTTTTTATTTTGAAGTTGCGCTTGGAAGGACATGTTTATCGTTTATTGTACGTTGATGCATCGCGTTTTTACCGGCTTCGAATTTTTATCGCCTCGTTCAGGTAGTTTTTGTTTTGATAAACAAGAGTTTTAAATATACATGTAGTTAAAAACACTTTGGAAAAAAATAAAATTTGACACCAATTACCGAGTTTTTTAAATAAAACTATATGGGTGCTCATCCCATTTATGTAAAAACAATATTTTTCATGATGAAAAAAATTCTAATTTTAAGATACTTAACGTCACAGCAAAAACTACCAAAACAACATCGGATTCCCAATAGTATAAAAATTCCAATCCTACACATAAATTGTCATACTATCGCCTATGACTTTAATTGTTTCTTTGAGATTTTTTTATTTTTTTATTTTATTTATTTCACCACTATTACGTGTAAAAATAGAAAACATTTTGATTACAGACGCACAGCTAGTGTACGCTCAAACTGTCTGATATTATTATAATTCCCTTATACATCATCACCTTCTCTTTTAATCTAAATAATCACTTGTTTTGCTAATAATAATAGCAATAATAATAATTCGTTCATAGTGCAAAGTATACATTAATATTTATCTGTTTTGTGTCACTTGAACTATTTTCAAACTAATCGCTCAAAATCTTATATTTGGAATTGATGGAAAAAAAAAGAGGGTGTATTACATATTGTATTTGTTTTTACGCAATACAAAACATGTATAGCGCGTACACCCGTGCATGTATGTTATACGTACACACGTATACTCTTTCTCATATAATTTGGATATTATAAATAATAATGAAAATCAGCGAAGGGCCACTATTATACGATTTTCCTCCTGTAGTTGCTTATTCATTTATCGATTTATTTATTCTTCATTATATGAATATTACTATATTATTTATTTTCTTATGTATATGTATATATAATATATGTATGGATGTAACAAACAAAGAGCGCGTTACCGATCAAACGACCATAGATTTGTATGTATACTGTAGTTACGTTATCTCTATATGTATATGTGTAAATATTTAACGGGTTACAGGTATACAAGAGAGAAAAATATATGTAAGGTGTCGCACGCTCGCGCGCATCGATTTCGCTGCTTCCGTCAGGATCATAACTCTGCGCCGGTATTTCAATATCATATTGTATCTTGTCTCGATTGCCTATTGTACACGTACGTGATATTATTTATAAAATTGTTTTATCGTTAATAATGCCTCTTGCTTTGCCATTTATAAGTCACTTGTGTCGGTATTATTATATTATGTTAATTGTGAGAAATGCGCCTCGTCCACTCGGTTCCCTGTTTCTAATCTATTATACTTATTACGTGGTTTAAGATGCACTTTGATTGTGAAAAATCAGTCCGTCCGTTGGTTGAAAAAAAAAAGAAATAGTAATGATAAAAAAAAAATAAAAAACTATGTATCGATTGTTGAACTCTATTATCGTTTGTGATACACAATAATAATAAATTCTATTGGCGAAGCAGCGAAATTGAGCGGGTTATACCAACGACACTTTGTACGTACTCGGTCCGTAAGTATTTTTCATATTAAAGTATCATCGATATTCATCCATTTAAGTCACACTATTGCGTTATAATCTCTGCAATTAACACCAACGAATGCACGATTTTATATATGTATATATGTATAATTATAAAAGGCAAGAGTCGCCATGGTCGTCTGATCGGGAAAACGCTTTGAATCTTCTTACTGTGTTTTATCAATTATAAATGTATATGTTTAATAGTAATAATAATACGCGGCTGTGAAACTGAAATCGTTCAGTTTTCCGGATTAACGTGACGTCACCCGAAAACCTGCTTGTGTATTCATAAGGTAAACGCGCGCGAGCGCGATTTATCGTTATCATAATTTTTTCTTCTTCTACATTTTTATGTTATGTTATACAATTATAATGTTATTACGCTTATCCTTACTATATAGTCCACTCTGCGCGCGTTCGGA